GTTATAATTAACACTTTTTGTAGTCATTATTTAGAAAATGCAATGTGAAACATTTCATTTGAGTTCATATCTAGCAGGAGTGACCACGTTACAACAGATACTGTAGCGGGAACTACTCTGGCAGGTGACTAATGTTGCACATTTTATAAACTTTTGACGTGTCTGGTTAAACCAGTTGGTTAACTGTGACGCATATAGGTTCGAGAGATTCTCATTGGCGCAGACTGCCATAACGATCTTTGTCAAAGTAATAAAAATAATCGTATCTAGTACCATGACAACTTGCTGCTAGTGATAGTAATATCAGCTCCTGGGGGTTGAATTGGATTTTCTTAGCCTAAACATACAGTAGCTGAGGCTTTTCTGGAAAATATTACACAAGTGAGGTGAAAATTTGTCTCATCTCATCGTCATGTCAGTAGAGCAAATGTCAAAGACTGCTCCAGGCAGTTTGTGTCCATGTGTTGGAGTTTCGGTTAATAAGCACAATATTAACATTATTTGCTAGGATTCATTAAATTATTATATTATATAAAGCATGTTTGTCTTTTCAGAAGCTGCTATATTATAGTGTTAAAATATTTTTAAAAAAAGTACTTTTATATTTAAGTTCTGTCGATATTTACAAAGAGAGCACAATGACAAGATTGCATGTGGGCACTATGTGTTTTACTGCAAATTGCTCGAATAGTTTATAGGGAAAAATTAATTTTTCTTCATTTTTGCACTTGATATTGAAATGAACAGACTGTACCCATGTTTAGAAAACAGAATAACTTTTGTAAATGATCTGTAAAAACTAACCACACCTCTAAGCACTATTTGAGGATTGTGCTCACACGGTATTTTTACCTGTTGAGTAAATCTGTCTCTAAATGTAAACTGTAAAGTCTGCTTATTTTAAAATTGTATTTAGGGAATCCTGCGTCTTGGCATATCCTGGTAGCTAATTTTTATTCTTTTAAACTGTTCTCTGCAGCACTGATAAGAGTAATGCCGTGTCATTGGTGCACTGTCTGTTTCGTTTGTGTGAAATCTGTTTGGTATTGAGTAAAGCGAGGAAAAATCAAGCAGTGCCTTCTGTAACTGTGGCTTCTTTAAAGGTTATAAGATTTCCCGTATTCAGTTATCAAATCAGTCCGATCAAAAAAGCAACTGTTAAGCTGCAAAGCAGCAGTTGTGGTATGGTGGTTGGATATCACTGCAGCTTATGAATGGAGCACTTGTCCTTTTTCATCCCTTTAGCCAAAGTTCTGTTTGATTGAAATTAGCATGGAGCTTTGAAAAGACATGAAACACATTCACCTTGATATGTGTTTGTATCAGTAGTCCTTTTTCTCTCCCGCAAACTCACTCTAAATGTCTTGCTGGTCCACCCTCTCTGTGTCGGTCCCACATTCCTGCTGAGGCCCACACATTTTGGCAGGGAATAAAGGGCTGTGGTCACTCTAATTGTGAGGCTTTGGACGCTAGTTTTTGGATTTATTCACTGCTGGCCACCATGACGATACCATACACCACACAATTAGTATGTGTACATGTTGTGGTTGACTATATCTGTTAAGGATATATTTCATAGTAACATGGTTCATAAATGTTCTCACTTTATTGCAACTGTGCTAGCAAAAAAACGTGAAATGAATTTTTCTTTATGTCACTTTAGAGAAATCCAAGAGTCCTGATTTATTGAACAATGTTTTGTGATTATTGCTAGCCATAAAATGAATTGTTCATGAACACAACTATGTGCATGAGCACATTGCACAAGTGCTACACCTTAAGAGATGAAGATAAACTGTTTTATTGCCATTGCTTCAGCTGGGTTGATGAGTGTAAAATGAGTCTTCCCACAGTTCATGCTGTTTGTACAACCAGAGTTTCAACAAAGTTATAAATCCATGCAAAACCGTAATGCAACAATTTGTATATTTCGCAAACCCATTTTTTCAAATTCACAATAGAACACTGAAAATTTATCAGATGTTATAAATTTATTATTATTTTGTGTTTGATGGGATCAGCATGTCTCAAAAAAGTTGGGATGGGAGCAACAGAAGGCTGGAATAGTAAGTGGTACTAAGAAGAAACAGCTGGGGGAACATTTTACAACTAATTCGGTTAATTGGCAACAGATTGTTAACATAATCGGATATAAAATGATGGGTGTGTTAGAGAGGCACAGTTTCAGAAGTAAAGATGAGCAGAAGTTCATCACAGTTTCAGAATAACGTTCTTTAATATAAAATTGTGAAGACTTTGAACATCTCATCAAGTGCAGTGCATGATATAATCGTACAAACTGGAGAAATCTCTGTGCGCAAGGAGCAAGGCTGAAAATCGGTATTGGATGCCTGCGATCTTCAGGCCCTCCGGTGGCACTGCAGTAAAAACAGGCATGATTGTCTCGTGGAAATCACTGCATGGTTTCAGGAACACTTTCAAGAAACTATTGCCTGGGAGCACAGTTCACCATGCCAACAACAAATGCAGGTTAAAGCTCGGTCCCGCAGAGAGGAAGCCACATGTGAGCACGATACCCAGAAGCCACTGGTTCTCTGGGACAAAGCTCATTTAAAAAGGACTGAAGCGAAGTTTAAAACTGTTCTGTGGTCGAAATTTAAAGAGAGACTACATCAGAACTTTTTCAGATTTAGGGTTGTAGTCATTTACTTTACTAATTTAGTTCTTAAAGCTGATGTGATGAAGAAAAGAGACACAGAAGAAAACTCTAAAAACTGCCTTAACTTGGATTTGCTGATGATATGTTTTTCAGTTTTGGTTTGACTCCTTATCCTTTGCTTCTATTTGTTTTAACCTTGCTAGCTGTCCAAACTTGTCTTATCTGAATGTGTTTTAATGGCATAAAAGTTGACAATATTAACTCCTTTTTTTTATGTGTCTGTGTTCTCATTGTTTCTCAATCCCAGGGCCTAAAGAGTGGTTAGTTATGTCGCAGATACGCGTCCAGGTTGAGACAGACCCCGCACCCACAGGGACACACGTGGCCTTGTAAGCTGTGGCGGCGACCGTATTATCAAGGAAATTCCTGAGTCCTCCAGGGTCACCTATCTGCTGGCTTCTCTATCTGCTGGTTTGTACAGCTGTACAAGCTTCTGTTTCCACAACACTCATACACAGAGCACGCTCAGCACTGATGTGGCGTCTTAGTCACTCAAGAGGTCAGCAGAAGCTGAAGCTATCATTTCCTACAGCAAAGGCCTGTGCCTATGGTGGAGCATAAAAATGAGGTGTGGGCTTAATGCAACACATGCTTTAAAATAGAATTGATCTTTGTGATTAAAGATTAATGATGACATAATTGATGCAACATAAATATTATGTAAACAAGCGGGTTATTGTGGCTAAAGCACAAGCTATCTGTCTTGATCTGGGCTTGGTAATACTGTTTATCTAAAGCAGCTGAGTTGGTAAACATGAAAAAGCCATAACTTCAAATAATTTATGACGTGAATTATTTTATGACCCCAGCAAATTTAATTTCCTCTTTCTGCTCTTTCGGTTACTTC